ATTTTCATTTGTCTGGTTTTGATGAGGATAATTAATAACTGAATTAGATTATTCCAGATCCCAGTTAGGAGACATTTCATTTTATGTAAATAACCTATAGAGAGGATGTTTCATTTAACAGGACAATGTTATTTAAATTTAAATGTACTTGATTGCCTTAAGCTTCTTCTTTTTTTGTCATAAAACCTGAGATAGCGTTGATGTTAGAGTTTATTCATTTAGTGTTGCAGAGGGAGATCGTCACGACCAGAACGTGTTGAGGAGACGCTGTGTTGTCTCAGCAGTCTGTAGTGATCACTGCTCTGTTTAATTCCTGTCAGAGGGTCCTGACAACCTCTCTCTGCAACATTTAGGCCCTGTAATGTTCGATGAGAGCAGGATGCAGTTAGACAGTTTAAGATGAGATGCTGTGACATCTCAACAAGAAGTGGTTTTTTGACTTTCTCCTTTTCTCGTTTAGTTTAAGAAACGCCAGTGGGCAGACAGCAGCAGACCTGGCCCACGCTCACGGCTTCCTCGACTGTTTCCGCTTCATCTCAAATGCCCAGAAACACCTGCTGCAGCTCGGCGTGCAGAACGGAAGCGTCCCCTGTGGTCTCGGCCGGCTCAACAGAAAGAGGCTGCCAACCACTGTGGAGCCCGGGCACCTGAAGAAAGCCAGGAGAGCTGAGGGTAAGAACTGTGCTTGCTTCTCTTGGGTCTTGTTATTACACTACAGTTATTTTTCATGACCGGTTCATCTCTTTTCACTTTATAATGAATCATTCAGTACGTCGAATGCAAAGTAATGAAAACACAACTTTTAAATAATGGGACAAAACAGCATCAACAGCCGTTAAACTTCCAAACCTGTTAAATTATAATTCGTATTGTCAGATTATTAATTTTCTTCCTCTGTCTGTTGCAGATGTATTGGTGCAGATGCACAGCGGTGGAGGTGAGGAGGTGGAGAGCATGAACATGGAGTCTGCACAGGGGCTCAGCTCAGGTGGGACTGGAGCTTCAGTGGCGTTACAACATCTTTATTTTATATTTCCTGATGAAGCTAAACTTGTTATGTGGAGATCACAAATAAAAAAGTACAGTGTTGCTGCTTATGAAAGGATTAACGTTAAGATTTCTTTTTAAAAGCAGAAGATGACACCAAAGGCGTCACCAATGGCCATCATCACGTGTTGCCTCTTGCTGCCCAGGATGAGCCTGAGCCCTCCAAAGCAACTCCCCCTCCTCAGCGCTCTTCGGCGGACATGTGCGGATCCCTGCATCTGACCGGGAGCCCCAGCAGCTGCATGTCCCAGCGGCCAGCCTGGTGGGGGCTGATGGGAGCCGAGTGCGGGGACTTTCAGCATTACGGACACTACCACGGCTTCGGAGACACAGCGGAGGAGCTGAATGACAGCATCCAGGCTGAGCACAGATACAAGCAGGCTGTGGCCAGCACCGTCCACCTCTACCACGGATCATAAGCAGAGGGTTAGCGTCCAAAGCCTGGCCCCTGGAGATGTCCTCTGGAGATGATATGCTGTCCCTTAACTTTAAAGTATCACTTATATTTTGGGAAAGATCTTTAGTCGCTAAATCTAAAGTCACTACTACAGATAAGTAGGTCATTCAGATAATCTTTAAACACAGACCCCCAGATCTTTCCAGGATTTTTTAAGAGTTGACCTGGGACTCAGTATCAGCATCCGTCCCCACTGGCTAGTTTTCCCAATTAAGAGCTATTTAGTAGGATTGTATGGTGTTGTGTGTGTGTGTGTACCTTGAGGCTGTCCTCTCTCAATGTGTCCTGATCTGCCGTCCTTCAGCAGGGAGGAGCAACTGCACGGAAACTGACAACCTCCCAGCTCGCCTTGATCTACCAAAGGGAATGTGTTTTGCAGCTTTTAATTTGAAATCATTTGTTTTGTTGTATTTATACTTTAGAGCAGGTGAATGTACTGTCATTTTTATAAAGCATACTGTATATTGGGACATGTAGACTGGGCTGTCTGTGGGGAACTGCACAAAGTGCCAAAGGCTGTTTTATACTTTATACTCTGGTTTAGCCTCTTTTCCTATTAAACCTTTTTTGCAGTTTGATTAAAAAAAATGGAAGTGAATGAGTCTTTTGAGAATGAGAATCAGAATTGAGCCTAAAGCAAAAACAAATCCAGTGAGCAGCGGTTTTGTGTTGATGAGAGGTCAGAGGAGAGCGGTCAGACTGGAGCGACACGTCCAATGTTGAGGTGGGTGATCTACAAAAGCAGAGGTTCCTCTTCTGAATTCTGGTTGAGTCACAATCTGGAATCAACATTGAGAATCCACAAAGCTAACCTGCTTTTATTGAAACTCTTTGTTTCTGTCCACACAACTGCTGCTCAGTGGATGGTTTTGTTTTTGGCTCTAGTCTGAGTGAAAACTCCAAAATCCACGAGATCTGCAGTTTCAGAGTCAATGACATCACATGTTTTCATCATTCAGATGTTTGATGTGAACATTAACTGAAGCTCCAGTTGCATGACACCTAATTTAAATTAATTCCTTTTTTCCTTAATTTAAAAACCCACCCTGGAGCAGTGGGAACAAGCCCAGCTGCTCAGAACACCTCCTCTGCCCAGGGCCTCCATCACAGCTCGGAATACTATTTTCAAAAAATGCTTTATTTCTAATCTTAAATGTCACTTAACATCATAAATTATTAAAAAGAGCAAAATGCAGGTTACAACAGTAGCTCAAGCAGTTTCTGATGAAAACACGATGTGAAGAGCAGCTCATGTAACAGCTCATCACCTCCTCAGATCTAGCTGCATGGTCTTCTGCAGGCTGGCTATGCTGGCGTCCAGAGCTGCCAGGCCGTCTCTGAACGCCGCCTCGTCTCTGGTGTCGAAGGTCGACCCTGATCTCATGCTGCAGTCAGACCACAGAGATTCCACATCGCACTGGGACAGCGTGGAGTCCGACTGCAGCCCGCACGACTGGGCTGCGCCCAAACAGTGGGACTGGTCGTTTTGGGGGGCCGCAGGTTTGTCTGAGGGGCTTCTCTCTCTCTGCGCGACCACGTGCTCAGTGGGTGTGGGATCCAACCGGCCGAGAGACATCAGGTACTGAGTGACGCGCTCGTTGAGGGGCTGGTGTGGTGTCGTCGGCAGAGACTGGACAACTGTAGAACAAACTGATGACTCCTGACTCTGAAGCTTTCTGAAACAGACGGCGTAGAGAACAGTGAAGGTCTCCCAGTTATAGAATCCATTGCTTGTGGTCGAGGAGCTTTACTTTACTCTCAGCATCAAACACGCACCTCTTCAAGTTTCCTATCTCCTCCAGTCTTTGTTGGGCAAGTGAGGCCAACTCACTCTTCTCTCGCTCCGTGTCAACCAGCCGGCTTCGAGTTGCTTCCAGGTCTGCAAGCAAACACCACATCAGCACAATCTCCGCCACTGTCCTGCAGGGCCCTCACGCCAGGCAGCGCACATTTCAATCTATTTTACATTCTGTATCTCGCCGCTTATTTATCGTTGCTTTTCATATTAAACTTTGAAATCTGATGTCGTATTTGCTGTTTCCTTTTCATCAGTTTCTATCAGATACTGTATTTTCAAAACTATACATGAATTAACTAAATTGAAGGAACCTTAGTAGTGACATTGTTTAAATTTGATTACTCTCATGGTAAATTATTTTGTGAGTGTCTGATTACAGAACCTGTCCTGATGGCTGCGTTCTCTGCCTCTCGACCCCTCAGCTGGCTCTGTGCGTCCTGAAGATCTCTCCGTAGCTCTGCCAGGTCATGCTGCAGTTCTTGCAGTCGGGACTGAGCTGTGGAAACCTCCTCCTGCAGAATCGTCACTGTGGAGACACACGGGTCAAATTAATCACACCCATTTTAGTCCCATCTGTAAACGTGACACACACAAATTACCTTCTGAGTTACTCTCTGTGTGCTGTTGTCTCTCTGTTTTCTCTTTCTCCTTCAACTGCTGGTTCAGGATCCTCACGCGCCTGACACACAGACACACACATTTTAATGTCACAAAAACTCATGTGGGTGCACACACACACACAAACACATAGAGTCAGTGAGGGTCCATGTGTGGAGCCTGAAGCGAGGACCGGGCTGCAGTACCTGCGGAGCTGAAGGTTGTGCTCGTGCAGCGACGACAGGTCTGGAGCACTGTCAGTGTGGATGTTTAAACCACCATCATTCAGCAGTGGTGAGGACACAGCCTGCTCCAGGTGACGGAGCAGCCTCTCTGCTACACTGCCTGTGCACACACACACACACACACAGAGTGAGAAGCTCCTGAGTTTCTCAGACCAGTTTGGTTGTGTTGTATTTTTTGTAAGTATTTGGTTATGTTGTGGGTATTTTCAGAATGTTTCCTATGTTCCCTCAGAAAGATGTTCAGAAACAGCCCTGTGACTCAAAGGTAACACTGAGTAATCACTGTATCGAGTTTACTTGGCTTGTGTGGTAATAGGAGATTGTGTAGTGCAGGTTACCTTGTCCGGTGATCAAAGCCTTGAGTTCTCCAAGCAAATACTGGACTGTCTTCTCCTTCACTTCTGTCTCTGCGCTGCGCTCTGCCCTGCTGTGTGTGTCCTGAGGAATTTCATGAACCTTCGGGGTACAACTGTGTGTATATGAGAGTGTGTGTCCAGCAGCTGCAGGTACATCTGCGGCAGCGCGTAGGGTGTTGGTGTCTCTCACAGGAACAAAATCCTCCTCGTCACTATCGCGCTCCGGAGCTTTGGGCACAGCCGGGCACTCTGTCTGACCAGGAGGCGGCTGAGAGGATGACTGGTGCACGGACAGGAGGACGGAGGTGGGGGGTGGAGGGATGGAGGGATGGGGTGGAGGGGCAGAGGGGCAGTGGTGAGCTTTGGTGTGAGCTCGCCTCAGAGTTGGATGCAGCTTCACCCCCGAGTGTGCAGCTGGAGTGGGGGACTGATGTGTTGGAGTGGTGCTGCCTGTTCCACGCTGGCCGGACTGAGGATTCTTGTGGACTGGAGGTGGAGACGGAGAGAAGATGTGGCAACATTAGATGACTGTGAAGCCACTGGTTTCTAAGGCATCAAAGCCACATTACCAGTAAAACAGGCTGATATGTCTAAATAAATAAAGCAAAGGTTCATTTAAAAAGCGGAGAACAGCTCTAGGGTTAGGGTTACTGCTCTATATGTCCCTAACAATATGCTTCCAATGTAACCCGTCAAAACACACACACCTACCTGTCTTTTTAGGAACATTCTTCATGGGCTTCTTCCCCAGCAAGGTGGATGGTCTTGATTTGGCTGCTCCACACGTCACTGCTCTATGAGGTCTAGGAGAGGCTTTTACACACAATAGGATTTGTTTATTTGACTAACGACTGGCTGCTCTATCAACGACCATCACATTAATGAAACTCATCCAACCTGTCATGTCAGTCTGAAGGATGCCGCTGAGCAAGGCAGCACAGCGGTCCAGACCCTGGTGGAGAGTGGTGACCTGACAGTACAGGACACAGCAGTGAGCATCACATCTGTGCACATCTGTACTGACTACACATTGTTTAGGAGAGTGCTTTTTTTGCTTTGCACTTCATTATTCATTCTGCACGATATGTTGCACATCCACTAACTCCATTCACCTGCTCCTCTGAGTCTGAGGAGTACAGAGAGTAGGCCGGCTCGGGGCGCGCGGACGGCCCCGGATTCACTCTGAAAACACAAGTTAGACGCATGTAAGTATAATGAGGATGTAGCATAACATTTTTAATAAAGGCGTGTACTCACTGTCGCCTGGTCGGCTGCACTTTGACTCCTCCCGTCAGCCTCCCTGACGTCACCACCTGCCAATCACAATCAACACGCCACACATTTCAAACTGCTGTCGTCCTGAAGCATCCTTTATTGAATGTGAGACACTGTGGAATTTAGAAACACATGTGACAGCCCTGTGGTCGTCAGGGGTGTTTTTAAATCTAGGGCCAGAGGAAGGATTCCTGTTCTTAGCTTTGACCCCTTGATACGTTTGCTGCAACAAGATTCAGATTCATAGGATTGACTTGAATATATCTTTGTAATCTTGGTTTAAATTAATATCTTTTGACATTTTTTCTTCAAATGCAGCAAATAACTTCCCTCTAATTGTGTTCAAGCAGCATGATAAATTATATCTATGCACATATTGTAATTCAACTTCCTCAAAAACATTGAAGCTTTGTAGACAAAATATAGTTTTTCTCAGTCATATTTTCTGTTAATGCAGACATTGTTTACTTTATTTAACCCCATAATGTGAGTTTACGAATATATTCATTATATTATTGAAGCAAGTGCAAGGTTTACAACATGTATGCAAGTTCTGATCTTCGTTTGCTCGTGATCTAACTGTCTTTGAGGTAAAGATACGTTTTGCATCCATAATTGTACTTGTAAGTAAACACACCAGATCTTAATGTGACAGATCGCTGACTTAAGTATGGGACAAACTCATTAACCCTCGTCAGTCGTGTTGACAGACGTCTGTTGTCACTACTGACACATGAGTAACACGTGTCAAACATCCAGACACTGAGAGTTAGCTCTCCTAGCTTACCTTGTGTTTAGCCGTAGCTTTCATAGTGAACGACACTTCCTGTTCTCCTCAAGCTGCTGTTCTCTCACCGTCAGCTTTGACTTTCAGCTCCGGAGTGTCTCCTTCCTCCACGGCTGTCCTCCGTGCCCACAGCTTCCGGTTTGTTTGAAATTGGAAACATACGGTCAGCCAATCACAGAGGATTAAGTAGTGGGCGGAGCTACAGAAGCAGGAAGCATCAGTTGGTTGAAAATGTGCATCAGTGACTTTGCACGAACATTGTGATTCACGAACATCCTACGTTACTCATTACCGCAGTACGCATGCACCTCACCAGCTTTTGACATCGAGACACCATCATTTTTCCAATCAAATAAAATAAACAATGAGAAATTGTGTATTGTAAGTCTTAAAATAGATTAAATATTGTATTTATTATAAACATCCAGATTAAAATGATCAGCCCTGAGACATTCTTTGTCCCCACATGACCCCTGAGTGCCAGCATCAGCACCGAGGGCTTCTAGTTTACTGGAGCAGGACACACTGAAGCTGTTTCATGTTGGGCATGAAGTTCAGTGACGGCTCATTACCTGCACTCAACTGATGTTTTCATTCTCAATGATTAATGACCAATCACGACATATTTATACAGTTGGAACTTGCTTTTAATCTTCAAGTCTTTGCTTGGAACACAATTATTTATTGTTCTCTCTTCTCAGACATTAACCATTTTCATGCAAGTGATAATTTAAAAAAAATAGAATAAAACAAAAAAACTTTCCACAACATGCAGGTCTGTGAAGATTAAGAACGTTAGGGAGAAATATCTGGTTTCTCTATTTAAACATCTCACTTGACATATTCTGTTTTCCATTGAAACAAAATCAGTGATAGAACCGCAACAAGCTAAACAGCAAATAAGAGCAGCTCAGGTCCATGTGTGGGTGGCTGGGCTGCACCAATATTCCCTCTACTCCCAGTCTTCCTCATCAGATGCAGCCGGAGCCGCCGCAGCTGGGCTCTTCGCTGTGCTGTCCTGAGAGAATCCTCGTTCATGACCCTGAGGACAGAGGACACAGTGAGCATACTGAGGACAGCCTGCTACTCTGACACCACAAAGGTTCAAGAGGAAAAAACTGTAAATGATTATAAAACTGAAAAGTCAGCCCTACTACCTTTCTGGAGTCTGTGGAAGTAAAGTTCCTCCTGGAAGGGTTGGCATCATTACTACTGGGGGCATTGAACGCATACTCTTCTAACCACGAGGGAACTACTTGCTGGGCCTGTAATTCCAAATCACATACAGACGATGAAGGCCAACACTATACGTCCAGTCCACCCACTAGTGATGCACAACCTCTGCACTGTGTGATGCTATCTTACCTTGGACAGGATTGTAACCAAAGAGCGGGCCAACTGACCATCAACATCTGGGTCGTAGAAAGACACAGCCTTCCCAGTATTACCACAGCGGCCAGTTCTCCCAATACGGTGGACATACTCATCGATGTTGTTGGGGAGGTCAAAGTTCACCACATGCTGCACATCTGGAATATCCAGACCGCGGGCAGCTACAGAGGTTGCAACCAGGACTGGACATTTGCCAGAGCGGAAGTCTGTCAGTGCCAGCTCTCGTTCCCGCTGCTCACGGTCACTGCCAAACAACACGACACATTAACCACAGCTTTAAAACAAACTGTAGTGTCCTGAACACATCACCTACCCATGTATGCTGGTGGTTGGAACTTTCTCCTGGCACAAGAAAGCCGCAATAAAATCAGCTTGTCTCTTGGTCTCCACAAACACCATGGTGCGTTCCATTCCTGCAAGCACACCAGGATCCCTGATCAACACCAGAAGAAGCAAGCTCATCCCAGAATATCTTACACCATCCATCCTTAATAACCTGTACTACAAAGCTGAAGCACTTGATATGAGTATTGCTCATACCTTCAGGAAAATTAAGTTGCATGTGAAAAAGTTAAATGCCCAGGCCTAATTCAGAGTATTTAAAAATTAAAAAAAGAATTTGGTTATGTCACCAGTAACAGGACTACATATGATACAAGCTTATTCATGGATACTTTAACAATGTGTATCGAGCGGCTTCAGTTGCAAGGTGTGCTGTAAAATCCTTAACACATTCACGTTAGCCACCATAAAAAAAAAACATGTTACCCGTGATCTTCAGCAGGTCAAGAAGCTGCTCCCGCTTTAAGAATTTGGTAACTTCGACAAATGACTGCTCTACATCACTGCAGGCTCCGCCCACCACACCCACAGCTAAGAACAGGTAGTCAATCTTGAGAAAGTCTGCTGCCAACCTGTGAAAACATGCTTTAGCATTCATATATGCAAACCATCAATCAAGCTCATGTATAGAACAAGTAAAGCAGTAAACGCTGCAACTGATCGGGCGCCAGACCTCTGGATGTCCTCAGGGTACGTGGCACTGAACATCAGAGTCTGGCGGTTCTCTTTGGATGGCATTCCAGGGGAGCCCACCAGACGGCGCATGTCTGGCTCAAAGCCCATGTCCAACATGCGGTCAGCCTCATCCAGCACTAAGTACCGCAGCTTCTGCAACCCGACCTGAAGCACATACATCGTTTACATGTTTGAGACTTAAGCTAAAGACAGAAGAAATGAAAAATCTTAATTTACCTTTCCTCGTCCAATCATGTCCAACAGTCTTCCTGGTGTTCCACACAGTATATTACATCCTCTTGAGATTTCTCTTATATGGTGTCCAGTACTGACTCCACCATAAACAACCACTGGACGCACACATGTTCTATAAATTCAACAAGCCAGGAAAAAAATAATTCATTTTTGCATCCTTTATGTGTGGGGTGGTGATTACAGCGTTAAATGGTTCTTTATCGAAATCTAAACTATACCCAAAGGCAAACTTCCTGGCCTCCAGGAAGATCTGGCAGATGAGCTCCCTGGTCGGGGCCACGATGATGGCTTCAGGCTCCTGCAGCTCACTGAAGCGACTGGCTGCCACACCGTCTGCCATCAGCTGCTGCAGGATGGGGAGGAGAAATGCAGCCTGGTGGACAGAGGACACATTTGAGCTCCATCCACACTTAGTTACAGTTCAGGGGGTCGATTCAATCTCATCTCACCGTTTTACCGGATCCAGTTTGGGCACACGCCATGAGATCTCTGCCAGCAGAAATGATTGGAATGCCATGCTTCTGCACAGGGGTCGGCTTCACGTAACCAGATTTGTTGACATTTTTTGCCAGGGATTCGCACAATTGTACCTCTTCAAAAGTCTGAACAAAACACATGAAACAAACCAGCTTCACGACACACTGACAAGCTTTTCCACCACTTTATTTCAAACTTAAGTTAAGTTAAGATAAGTTAGTATTAAATTGTTTAATCCAAACTTTTGATTTGATTCAAATTGTCTATGAACTGTTGATTTCGTTAAATGTTCCTGCTATCAATTAGTATTTTATCAAATGAGTAGCTCAGCACTTCTTACCATGATTGCTTGCGGTGGGTTGGTTCCACTGATGTCCACCATAATGTCATCATACTTGTCAAAGTTGATGCCACGTTCATAGTGGGCAAAAATGGCCTCTTCATCCTCACAGAGAGTTGGAGGAATGTAGGTGACCTTTGGTCCTGAGGGGGGAAAGAAATTCAAAAGGTGGAGAAATGAGTTTGTCAAACTGCTGGACTGTTCAATATATTTACAGGGAAAACATTAATCGACTTACTTTCACCCTCAGCTGCATCCTTCTGTTCTGGATTTTTATCTTTACCTGTATCACACACACACTCATCAGTGAAATGTTTTTTTTCAAATGAAATTTTATTCAGCAAATAATGAAAAAAAACACTGATGCAACCTTGAGAAAAGATTTGTTCATCTTTTCCACGGTAACCTGCACACACAAAACACACCACATTAACAAACATGAATTTAAAAATATATATCACTATTCCAAAAGGTTAAAGATTGCTCACTTACCTCCTCCAAGTCCTCCTCTGCCACCCTGGTCACCTTCAACAAATCAACATTATTCATCTGCTCTTCAAATTTCAAACAGAGACTCAATGACTTGAACAGTAATCAGGGTTGAATCAAGTACCTTGTCTGAAACCTCCTCTGCTGCCTCTTCCTCCTCGACTTCCTCCTCTAAACCCTACTCACAACAAACAGTGATGGAATTAAACATTCACTTATGGTGGATAAAATTTACTATTTCTGTGTGTATGTAGTTTGCTAAATAAAATACACTTGCCACACATTCCGTCATCGTCTCCTGTAAAATCAAGACAGTTCACATTAAGTTTAAGGTCTTTGGGAGGACTTAAAAATGATCTGATTCCAAGTTGCCTCTGATTCAAACATGAAAACATTACCAGTCATTTCACTTCTGTCCACTCTGCCAAACCCTCTGCCACGTCCTGGTAAAATAAACATGCCGTCAGGAAACAAATTCTTTAATCAGTTCAAAATAATTCATTTGAGGTCTACCAAGCTCACGCATCATATTTACACTTTATAGTTCAGTTTGATGGACAACTTCCTATGATGCTTCTATGAATGTTGAATTACTTATCTCTCTGAAACCAATGTTGGAAACAGTTAAAGCTGTGAATGAAACCTTTGTATCTGTAAGCTTACTACAGATGAAAGTTATAGAGCCACCTTTCAGGCCTACAGGAGACTGGTGTCTGATATTTTACATTTTCAGAAGCATAAAAACTTCTGCTCTCAAAATAGAAAACTGCCAGACACTGTTTTTAATTATTCACCATGATAAGTTCTTGTCTTGTTGTATTTAACATTTGGTTTAGATAACTCAAATCTGAGGCAGAGCAATAAATTCAATTAAAAGTGGTTTGATTAGTTTATAATTGTTTCAGTCTCACCTCTTCCTCTGAAACCACCTGTTTCTCCTCCTGTTTTGTTCGAGCTGTCCCCATCTATAAAGAACAAATTGGAGAATCAGTAGCTTTCAGGACTGAGCTAGTATGGTGTCCACCAATTAAACACTGAATGTCATGAAACATTTCTGCTGCACAACATACACCTTTTAATAAATGTATTATAAATATGATATAATAAACTCATTAACAAGATCCTATGAAATAAATACTTAACTTTTTACAATGTAGTTTGTAAAATAGATAACCTCTCAAAGAAGAAGTAAGACCACAATGTGAGTTGGAAAATCTGAGGTGCTTCACTGCCACCTTGTGGTAGAAAACAGTAAATTGCAGCTCCCCTGAAGCCCACCATTATGACGTTTAACCAGCATCAAAAATGTATTCAACTAAACCATCGACTAAAGCTGCTTTCAGATATGCACTGAACTCTGCAAATCCCCTGCATTTTCTCTGGAGTAGGTGCATGTGTGACCGCAAACGTCCCAGTGAGACACTCTGCAGTTTCTACGGACTCTCTCTCCACATGGCCTGCTGGTAAAAAGCCCGTAGAAATTCAATGTGAGAACACAGCAGGGGATTCCCAGCTGGATTCACCACAAGTGAATGGGGGGTTGAAGCTTGTAACACTTAACAAATATTTCCGAGGTGGTGACACGCAAATAGACAACACAAACTAAAATGTGTTTGTGGCGATGAAGAGCTGACACCGGTGTCTGTGTGTTCTTAAGAAAATCTTGTGATCATCACAGTGGAGTTAATGCGTCACTTCCTGCTTCTGTCTGCTGCATTCAGCTGCTCCACTTCTCATCTGAATAATTATGGAGGATTTGCATCTGTGCAGAGAACCTCCTGCTGCATTGGCGTGTGTGAAGGGCAGATTGTGGGTAAACTCCAGACCCCAATTCTCCAGACTTTACCTGCAGGTCATGTCTGAAAACGATATGGAACTGCTGCTGGTACTCACCATTACCATTCTCATCCCCAACTAAAAGAAAGAAAGGGCAAAGATGCAGAGTTAGTTTCTCTCTCCAATACTAATGGAGGTCAAGTCCTCCTACTCAGGGGGTCTCATTTCATGTCCTCACGACATTATATGCTACTAGATTCCTAATGTATATAGGTATCCAATTGTCTAGAAGCACCAATTGCGCAGCCTAGTTTAGTCAATACAGTAATAAATGGTTTATAGGACTTAATGCCAAAGTACAGTTTAGCACACCTCTGTTGCTCACTACTGCTCATGCAGCTATGACAAATCAATTCACAATTTATTTTCAGTTTGTAAGATGTCTCACTTCACAAGTTATTAAGAAGCCGAAGTGACGTTGTCTTATGTTCAGTCAGGCAACTAACATTCTGCTACTTATTCAATAACATGGGATCAATGGGCACCTGAGGAAAAGGAGCCTGAAAATCCTCCTCGTCTGCCTCTTCCTCCAGGGCCTGGAGAGAAACAGGAAACAAATATTGATCCATCTCCCCAGGGTGGAGATAATCACTGCTCAACCTTTCTTCAATTACCTTTTCCAAATCCACCACAATCACCGTTCCAGGAGTCTCCTTGTGGGGCTAAAAATATTCAGTTCAGAACTAGTAATTTGTACAGGTTCAATGTGGATGTACTAAAAGTTTAAATAATGAAATCAAAAAATGATCACTGAATAACAGAGGAGTGAACATACCTTCACTTGATGCGTAGCTGGTTGGTGCAACACAACCATTAGTAGTTTCCTACAATCGTGATGAGAAAATGTTAGTCACACAAAGGACTACTTTTCTTTGGTACTTTGTGAGTAAACTGGCTTACCGTTTCCTCCCACTCGTCCATTTTTTATTTATTTTTTTGCTGAAAAACACAAGTTTACATTCAGGTTCCCTTTCTAACATGTTTTTCAGAAATGAAAGGAGTGTTGAAAGGGGTGAAGATCCCCACAAATCAGCTCATATGCTGGAGTGTGGCATTGATAAGGGGTTTGCACCTTGTACTGGCAAATAATCTATGAAATGTTATTTCAAGAAATGTACAAACATTATAAGTGTAAACTCTGATTTGCAGATGCTTTCGCCATTTGAAAAAAGGACAAAGTTACCGAAATACCGCGAGACTTCAGTGAGCAGCGGTTTCTATCAGCCTCGTGCGTTTTTTGCTAGCTCATCTTAAGCTAACCCTTAACTAAAACTACGAATTGAAACTGTTTTATTTTCCCGCTTCTTTCTTCTTCTTCTTCTTCTTCAATAACCCCCCTTTAGAAACGTTCAACCCGCAAAATGAAGCTAAACCACATGTGGCTAACACCATTGCCGCCATTACTTTGTTAGCTTGGTGGCTAATTGCGCCGCACACACGAAGAGCGGGACAAGCACCTGCTACATGGATGTGACCGCACAAACCAACGCAAAATACTAGAACTCCCGCAAAATACGAATTAGTCCCGTGTCTTAAAATGTTTCAGGAAGTAACTGCGGGATGTGTAATAGCAGGAAATACATCATTGATTTACCAAATGTGTGTGAGGAAGAGCTCGGTGGTCGTCTCGTGCCGTCGCGGTGCACTTCAGCTCGTGGGTCACGTCTCGTGTCGGGGCCGTGTGCAGACAGCAGAGCGCGCACCGTGCACGGCGACAGGTGCCCAGGGTTGCCAGTTCCGCTGCCTTCGCCCCCACCAACGGGACTACTTTCACAAAAACGAATGGTGTGGTGTCAGATGGTTGTGTGACTTGAGTTGATTTGCTTTTTGCTCGCATACTAAACAACTCTGGAGTGAATTATCCCACTTGGTTTCTGATCACCCCAATTTCACTTAATTTTGACAGATGTGTTGATGGCATCCATGGCAATATCCTCAGCTGATCAATCTGATTCTTACTTCTTTTTTTTTTAATTCACACAAATCATTTCATACATTTGAATTCAATTAATCATTCTAGTTCAGTTGATTTACCCAAGGTCATTAATCGTATGTGTCATTGATGAAAAAACAGCCTAATCCAAGTAAAATCTCAGTAACAGCAGATTTTAATCTGAAATGAAATACCATGTGAAACAAACCCAGTCAGCTGTTTTATCATAGTTGTGTTGAAATAAAAAAAAAAGATTGTTAAATGAAAAGTTATTTCTAATTCACAGCTTCCTTCATGTTTATGATTATTCTTTGCTAACCAGTAACCAGCAGGATTGTGGGCCATATAATGACAAGTACTTCTAAATGACAGAGTTAAACAGACACACATGGAAAGGAAAAGAGAAATAAATTAGAAATAATGTGGAAGTTGCATACTTGTTACAGCCCTGATCCATTATTTTTAATACAAATTACTGTATAAAAAAGGAAGTGAATGGAGACAGTAAATTTCACCATGGTGAAAGGGTCTTTTTATGTTAACCTGGAGGTTCCTCTTATACAGGCAGCAGTGAAATTAATATAAAACCTAGTGACAACATTCTAAATGCAGTGTTCACTCACAGCCAATGAGGAAATACAGCTACTGAAAAAAAAGACCTAATAATTCAGTATTTAAACACTAACAATTAAATCTGCAAGCAGCACTGAAGAGCTCTGGCACATTTGTGCACGTTGTGGGATGCTGGAGATCCATAGTGACATGATCTTTGGATTCTTCAGAAAAAGAGCAGCATATGATGACAAATGATTGGTTCTTTCAAATTAGATATAGATCCTGTCTGTATTCTCACTCTTTTCAAAAGTGAATACACTACTACTTTATATGACATCATCATCTGTATTCATGGTGATGCCACGATGATGTAATTCCTTCCGTTTCATTATTGAATGATGATGTTTGAGAGCCTGTTGCACAGAAAAAAATGGATACACTCAAGAATGTGGATGTAAGTTCATTCATTAAGTAATTGTGAAAATATAAAACATATCCATGTTGGTTTAATAAACTTAAATCCCAATATACAAATATATTTGTTGTTTTTCATTAAATTAGTAGCTATGATTCTCCTGTATCCTACTGGTGCACATGCACGTTCACAATGTGGCCCTCTGGTATTTGTGGCCCTCTCTATCATTAAAGTTGCCCCTCCCTGATATATGTTAACTGTACATGATAGATAAATATATACAGCAAATAAATAATGGGGCCTGTATAGCAGATGCATACAATCACTATGATTATTATTGATGCAACCATACAATGATGGTGTGTGTGTGTGTGTGTGTGTGATCATATTCCATGCATTCCACAGTGGGGATGTTATTTGCTGTATATGAATGATCACCCATGATGTTATGGTGAACATGGTGACTCCAGTTCCTTGTAGCATCACGATCCACTTCCACTCCGCCAGGTCTTGTAGCCAGGACGCAGTGCATTGTGGGACGTAGGCTGACGGTGAAGTCAAGATGGCTGTGGACCTGAAGCAGGGTGAAGAGCCTGCAGTAGAGAGGCCGTGAATGAAGTTTTATACAGAAAATCTGTCGTCGCTGCCCGTTCACACTCAGACCGTCGTGCTGGTGAAGTCGTAATCGACCCGCTCCGGACTCGGCACATTTACAAACAAGCAGCAGAATCGCGAACAACTGAGGATAAAGTCTCGTATGAATTCCGACGAGAAGGAGGACTGTGAGTGTGCGCCACCACAGGCCGAGACCAGCCCCGCAGGAGGACCCGATAGGTGGGGAGGCCGGGAGGAAAGAGTCGGGGATGCCGGGGATGCTAGCAGAAGCGCTGGGAGTTAGCTAGCAAGCTAGCTAGCTGCTGCTGGTAGCTGTGTGGAGGCTATTGCTCAGTTGTTTCTATTAATATATTTAGGCAAATCTCATAGTAAGCACCGGTTGATTAATGAATTAAAATGTTGCTAGTTTGGAAACGCGAGCTTTGCATGAATAATATTTGTGCTAAGGCTAGCGGACTTGCTACATTAGCATGCTAAGTCAGCGTTAGGCTCTAGAGGTACCTGTCATTTCTCCAGCCTCACTGTCTTTTGTTCCATTTAAAATTGTGCTGTGGGCTTTGCATTATCACCTATTATAACAATCAGTCGCAGGGTACACGTTTAGCATAAATCTTTAGCAAATACATTGATTGTGACCCCTAATCCCAATCCAAGTAACCTGGTTGCCTTCAGCCACAAGGCTCAGATGTTGCTTTGTAGCCAGCATGTCATTTCATTATTGTATTGCTTGTCATGCAGTTTCTAGGTCGACATATGCCCTGATGTCCCCTCGATTGCAACTGAGCCAACAGCATGTGCTGTAATGATCATCAGTGCAGCACATTGTACCAACTGTTCTTGTTTGTTGTCCAATCAGAGAATACGAGGAGCCTGAAAGAGAAAACCCAGAAGCAAGCCGAATGTAAGCCATTTGAATTTTCTACTGTTTTCCTTTCTTACCATCACAGCACTGTTGACTGCTTGTTATAACCATGTACCTGATGAAGCATATGCTCCAACAAATGTGTCTGTCAGATGAATCCTGCTGCAGCGCTGGCCTCCCTTTAGTTTTAATAGATCATCTGGATTATTTAAAGATCATAGTTCAGTTTCTACCGATTTATGGGGAACTAGAATGTTTTATTCACCAGGATTGGAAAGGAAAGGGAGGCAAAGGACCTTGATCTGTATGATAGATGTTTCATTCTCGTCAGGTGCAGGACTCCCTTTGCTGCAGACATTAGACTCTGTAACTCAGCAGAACTTTCACATGCACTAAAAGCTATGACTTCAAATAAAGGGGAAGTGAGAGCCAAAGTGTCTCTCAGTTATTAAACCAAACCTGAATGGGTGTAGCAATATATTTTCAACACACTGTTTTTAACTCTCACACCAGTGTGTTGAATTGAACACCCATTGGTTTCTGGGTCATTAGCAGGGAATCCTTCTCATCTCTACTATCCATCTCATATTGAGCTAATTTCTGCTATGATCACTCAGTACTTTTAACTTTTTGTGTCTTACCTCTGAATTCAGGAAGCGAGCAGCTGCCAAACATCTAATAGAGCGCTATTACCACCAGTTAACCGAGGGCTGTGGGAATGAGACATGCTCCAACTCATGGTGTGCCTCATCAGTCGGCTTCAACCGCATGGACAACAATGCGGCAGCGGTCAAAGCCCTGGAGCTCTACAAGGTCAATGCCAAGCTATGTGACCCCCACCCCTCGAAGAAAGGCACTGCGTCCACCTACCTGGAGAGCAGTGCTCACAGCAACTCAGCCTGCTGCAACAGGAAGATGAACCATAAAGATGTCCACTCTGTACGGGACAATTTCAAAGGTCAGTTCATGAACAACCTTTACACTCTGTTGGTGAGTGAAGTATACTATTCCATTTATGTGCGATATGATTGTAATCTGTTTTTAATTTTAACAATGCAATGTGTAATTCTGTGTGCAGATGTAAATTACCTGACAGAGGAGAAAGTGTATGAGATCTTGGACATCTGTGGAGAGAAGGAGGATTACTCTCCCCTGATCAGGGTAATAGGTCGGGTGTTCTCTAGCGCTGAGGGCCTGGTGGAGAGCTTCCGTAGATCCAAGCCTCACACCAAGGAGGAGCTCAAGTCTCTTCAAGGTAAAGATGAGGATAAGGACGAGGATGAGAAGGAGGCTGCTGCCTGCTCTGCGACAGCCATGGAGGATGACTCCCCAGCCTCCTCCTCCTCATCAAGGCTGGGTGAGGGCTCTTCAGAGAAAAACGATGTCCAAAAGCTGGCCCCTGATGAGGTCTCAGTGGACATCGAAGCTGTGCGTCGGGTCTATGAACGCCTTCTATCCAATGAGAAGATCGAAGCCGCCTTCCTGAATGCACTGGTCTACCTCTCACCCAATGTAGAGTGCGACCTGACGTATCACAATGTGTATTCACGAGACCCAAACTACCTTAACCTGTTTGTTATCGTGATGGAAAACAGCAACCTCCACAGCCCAGAGTACCTGGAAATCGCACTCCCACAGTTCTGCAAGGCCATGGGCAAACTCCCACTGGCAGCTCAGGCTAAGCTAGCACGCTTGTGGTCGCACTACAGCGCCGAGCAGATCCGACGCATGGTGGAGACGTTCCAGCAGCTCATCACCTACAAGGTGATCAGTAACGAGTTCAACAGCCGCAACCTGGTCAACGATGACGATGCAGTGGTGGGGGCCACCAAGTGCTTGAAGATCGTCTACTATGCAAATGTGCTGGGTGGCGACCTCGACATGGAGCATAATGAGGAAGAGGATGAGGAGCCCATCCCAGAGTCCAGTGAGCTCACGCTGCAAGAGCTGCTGGGCGAGGAACGGCGGAACAAGAAGGGCCCGCGGGTGGACCCGGTGGAAACGGAGTTGGGAATCCGCACTAACGATTGTCGGCGGCCGCTCATTTCCTTTCAGGAGTTTGTCAATGAGCCTCTGAACGAGGTGCTGGAGATGGACAAGGACTACACTTTCTTTAAGGTTGAAACTGAAAACAAGTTCTCCTTCATGACGTGTCCCTTCATCCTAAATGCTGTCACCAAGAACCTGGGCCTGTATTATGACAACCGCATCCGCATGTACAGTGAGCGGCGTATTACTGTGCTCTACAGCTTGGTGCAGGGTCAGCAGCTAAACCCCTATCTGAGGCTCAAAGTGCGCAGGGACCATATAATTGACGATGCTTTGGTCAGGGTATGTGTGACCAGATTAAATACAGCACATTCAATCTATTGCTTCCTTTCAGTAATTGTGGTTTCGCTGGAGGCTCATTGTTTGTCTTTTGACTCCATAGTTGGAAATGATAGCGATGGAAAATCCTGCAGACTTGAAGAAGCAGCTGTATGTGGAGTTCGAAGGAGAGCAAGGTGTTGATGAAGGAGGCGTTTCCAAAGAGTTTTTCCAGCTGGTGGTGGAGGAAATTTTCAACCCAGATATTGGTAAGAAAACACACAACGAACATTAGATAGTATAGTTCAGTATAGAAACCACACTTGATGATTCGAGGGCATCTGTAGCAGATGCTGTAGTTTTAGATACTGGCGGCCTGGTTTTAAACAAGATATTCTATATCAGGACTATTGCACATAAAAAACAGTAGGTTTTATTTTCAAAACCAATTTGATTCATTGTGAAACTGGCAGGACAAATTAGAATATGGGAATTAAGAGTAAAAGTCTGAGTAAAAAGGCTGCACATGGAGAGCTATGTCTACCTAATGCCACGTTTGCATCACGTCACTCAGGCTGCGTCCACACCAGTACATTTTCATTTCAAGCCAACAGCAGCCAAGTTAATTTACTGATGGTGGAAAGCAAGACCAGGGGTTTTTGCTTGGAGCAAGGACAAGGTGGAACTGTTGCTGACAGCAAGTCACACATATTAGTGTGGACGTAGCCTCGATCTGTAATTACATGCAGCTGTATCGGAAAAACCCTTCATGGCAGCCCCCATGTTGTAAGTCAGAGTCACAGATACGGTTACAAATACAGGGCAGAGCTTGACTCTTAAAACAGTGCGGTAACACTCACTCTAAAAGCCACTGCCTGAAGATCTGAATGTGAAGCTAAATAATGCCTACAATACAGGGAAAGACTGGTACTTTTAAACCTGGAAGTAATGACATTTTATTCACTGTATCAAATGTTATTAAGCTGTCACAATGGTCATAGCTCAGTAATCTAATGCAGTGTGGAGCATCTCTTTTGATCTGCAATGTTTATGAAATTAATTTATTAAATTCTTTCCTTTTGCAGGCATGTTCACATACGATGAGCGCACCAAAATGTTTTGGTTCAACCCGTCATCTTTTGAAAACGAGGGCCAGTACACTCTGATCGGCATTGTCCTTGGTCTGGCCATCTATAACAACTGTATCCTGGATGTCCACTTCCCCATGGTGGTCTACAGGAAGCTGATGGGCAAGAAAGGAACATTCAGGGACCTGGCTGATGCCAACCCGGTGAGAAATGTTGTGATCGCTTAGTTCAAGTTGCCATGGAACAAATACAGTTTGACTTTTAATGCTCTCAGATTTTGGGAGTGGAAGTTCACTTGTTTTTAAGCAGCCATGTTTGAAACTTAATACAAAATGCTAAATGTGACATGCGCCTGTGTTGGGAAGGTTCTGCACCAGAGTCTGAAGGAGCTGCTGGAGTACGAGGGCAGCGTGGAGGAGGACATGATGATCACTTTCCAGATTTCCCAGACCGACCTGTTTGGGAACCCACTCATGTATGATTTAAGGGAAAACGGGGACAAGATTCCAGTCACAAATGAAAACAGAAAGGTGAGAAAAGGAATTTATAATAATGCATTTCGTGTATAGGTTTATAGGGAAAATGTAGCAATAAAGGCTAAAGCCCCTGTCAGCATTTTAAATGGCCATTAACTGTGTTGTTGTGTGTTGGCACAGGAGTTTGTGGCGCAGTATGCAGAGTACATGCTGAACAAAAGTGTGGAGAAGCAGTTCAAAGCCTTCAGGAGAGGCTTCCACATGGTCACCAATGAGTCACCGCTCAAATACCTCTTCAGGCCAGAAGAAATCGAGCTGCTCATCTGTGGAAGCAGGGTGAGATTCTTTTTTCACCACACATTTGATTATTTTACTTTTTTATGTTTGCTTAAAGGCTTCCTTAACATCTATATTCTGTCTGTCACAAATTGCAGAACCTGGACTTCCTAGCACTTGAAGAAACAACAGAATACGATGGCGGTTATAACAGAGACTCTCGAATTATCAAGTAAGAATATGTGTGTGAGAGGGAAAAATGTTCCCTGCTGCTTTCAGAAATGGTCAGGACAACAGTAAAATTAGTTTTTGATATTACATAGTATCAAATGTACACAAAGCAGAATTCAGACTACACAACTTTGTGTCTTTTAAGTCTGAGTTCATGACTCCACGACTGACTGAAAAACGTTAAATGTTGATTGGATCCTCATGAACCAAAGACATTTGCTATTAAACAGTAAAACATGATGTTAGGTGAGAATGTTAATACCAGAAGTGATTGTTTGATGATAGGACTGGTTTTGTGTACATTGCACATTTTACCCTCTCATGTGTGTCTGTCTGCATCATAGGGAGTTTTGGGAGACATTGCACTCATTTGGGGAGGAGCAGAAGCGTCTCTTCCTGCAGTTCACCACTGGCACGGACAGAGCACCTGTGGGTGGGCTGGGCAAGCTGAAGATGATTATTGCCAAGAATGGTCCTGACACAGACAGGTGAGCTGCGTCTCGTCATGGTTGGAATATTAATGCAAAGCACTTTATGTTTCTTAAATTGATCCATTAACTGCATCACTCTGTTCCACTGGTTTTTCAATCACTTCACTGCCCTTAATTAAAACTAATGGAACCATTTCCAAATTTGCAATTAAGGGAACAACTGAACCGGACTTATTAGATGCCTTAGGCCAAACGTGCTGAGCAGGTTTTCAAAACAGACCTGTTCAACTAAAGTCATTTTTGAGGAAAGTTCTTTGTACAATTTAGATGAAACACACTCGTGAAAACATTACTCGGATTATTTTATATTCAATTTCTGTGTGTAAGATCATGTGATGTGTGACATCCTGTGCTCTAATCTGTCTCTTTTGAGGAGTATTATGTTCTCCTCTCTTTTCACCTTGACTTTGAACGCACTTGGAGATCAAATGTGTCAGCTATTTGACAATGCATTTATGTCACAGTCTGTCTGTGCGAGAGGGAAACTGACTCGCTGTGTGTCGTCTCGTCAGGTTACCAACATCTCACACTTGCTTTAACGTGCTGCTGCTGCCCGAGTACAGCGACAAGGAGAAGCTGCGAGAGAGACTGCTGAAAGCCATCACCTATGCCAAAGGGTTTGGCATGCTCTGAGCCCCTGCTCCACACACTCAGCAAAGGGACTCCTTCTCAGAAAGCCCATCAAACCCTGCCCCGCCCCTTCCTTTATCAGACACAATCCAAATGGTGACAAAGACCGACAAAGAGTACGTTTCGAGGAAAAGCAAGTCAATAATGCGAGAGGAGACATGGTTCCAATAGAGCGCTCTGGTATTTCTACTGTGCCTGCATCATCCCTCATCAGTCAGTGTGAGCACAGACAGAGACCTCCTGATCAAAGTACCCATCCCCACATCCACATTAAGTGAATGTGCCGCAGCCTCCCCTTCTTTTTTTTTTCTATGTACAGAGAGGATCAGTTTCCTTATTATTTATTTGAAGGCAAAAATGGGTGATATTTTTTTTTTTTTCATGCCTGCCTGTTTCTTCCCTACTTGTGAAAAGGGAAAGGTTAATATTAAACTATGTAAATTTAGGATAATACATTAACAAGTCAATATCAGACCCCCATTTATTGAACAAAAAGCTGTTAGTGTAGCCCTGAACTCATGTTCACAGAGTGTTGACAGAGGAAATCTAGTTTTAGAGTAGTCTTGAATACAAAATATTGTATTCCCCAGTGAAAAGAAGAGCTCTCACTGACCATTCCACTCACAGCCATCGCTTATTCTTTCTACCAAGTCCATGTTTGATCAAGGTAAGCATTTGGAAAATTTGGTCCAAAATGGCATTATACAATAGCAATTTTTCTGGTTTTGTTTTGGGCCTTTTTTTTCTTTTGGGGAGGGGGGAGCGGACACCGCAGGTTAGATTAAAACCTTGTCAGAGCTGTGTAAGTGCACTTAGACATTTTCAGAATGTTTGTTTTTTGGCTACAGGTCGCCATGATTGTTTGAAGCATTTTATTTCCATGTCTTCCTGTGTTGACAATTCTAAATAAAATTAAAAAAAACAGTATTTATATATCAGTGGGGTTGGAGCTATGATACCGTATCGTGCATGTTCTGGAGGATGTACACATGTAAACCAGTCACAGATGTTCTCAGAAAAAGACGTAGAGCTCTTCTTGTGCCAACCTTCATACAGTCAGTTTGTAGGTGAAACCCCAGTAAGCACTTTGTGTTGTCTGTTTTTGGCTTAGTCTTGTATGAGTGGACAGCTCACACTGCAGCCTCTGTTCAGTGTAACTCCAGTGTATCATACAGTCAGGAGGAAATGTCTACAGACCTTTTCATCGTCACTGACAAGCTTTGCTACCTTGTAATCTTTAGTCCACTGGACCCAGATCTCTGGCTTTGGTTACACCTATCATTTTATCACGACACCAACCCAGGTCCCAGTACGGGCTGAATGGCCCTGTGATCGGCAGTCTGAGCACAATCTGAGCAACCTGAAGCCCCCGATACCTTCCCATCAGCCCCTCCTTAGCTGTTAGACCCACAATCTTAATATGGAAAGCTGTGGTTCGATCTGCGCTTATGAGAGGAGTGGGGAAACAACATTTTAAGGAACAGTGGCGTTTTGATTCATCGCGCTTGGTAACACCATGAAATGAGAAGATGAATTCTAATGTTATCTACTTGAGGCTCTGTAGAACAAGAGGAAAAAACGCTGTCACGTTCATATTGTATAGTTTTAGTTTTAATGGATACACAACAGCGAGGGTACCTGTGTCCTCCCTCTGTACTGTTGTGCACAGAGACAACATTGATATTGATTGTCTTCTGTGACTCCGGGGAGACGGTACCATGTGGACACATCACTGTGATCAGATTTCAATTTGGATCTGTGACATTCATTGAGAATGAAAACAGGTGTAACCACTGTCGATGAAGAAGTCATTTTTCTGTGTTTTGTCAACATGAATTGGAATATCAGCTGTGAAATCATCTCTCCCCCCCCCCCCCCCCCCNCAGCAAAAAAGGACAGGCAGACATTTTTTTTTTTATTTTGTGTTTGTTCACTTTATTGGGCTGTAATTTTCATTTTTGACCTATTTTTAAACTTTGTCAAAAAGAGAGCAACACATGTCATCAGATGCCCCTACTGGGTTTTAAATGAATCTACAGTTAAATCAAGTTATTGTAAACGCTTATGAGGAAGAGAAAACAAAGTGGACTGAAATACCAGTGTGTTGTATTGTGCACATACAGTAACTATGGATTTGTACATTGTTTCAAAGACGATCCTCTGCAAAATCCATCGGATGTTTTCCATGGTTTTACTAAAAATGTAATATACACAGATCTTTTCAAGCAACAAGCTGTGTTCTTGAAATCTAAATTTATTTTCTAGAGTTCCAATCATTCAGTAGAAATTGAAAATCAAAGTAAAACATCACATCAAATTGCAGCCAGTCTGTACTTAAACTTGAGCACAATGTAATTAATTGAATCTAGTGGCTAAAAAATGCGGATGATTATTTTGATCATATTAATTTACAGGTCAGTTTAACATGGTTTTACTTCCAAATAAGTAGTCGAGATCATTTGGGTAAACTGTGGATAAATGCATGTTGCTGTAAAGCGTTCGAACAGTTTCCCCTCATCTCAACAACTGGTATGAAATGGTACAGCATTTACGCCGACCGACATTTTCTTTCATTGGCGATAACGACTGAGCCGATTTCATGACAACCCAGGAAATTCCAAGAGACGTGGTTGATAGGCCTGAAGTGGACCGTCAGTTAAGATTTCTTTTGCCACAACCTGGATTATTAAATGAACATTTCCTTGAACAGAACCATGTTCAAAGTGTAACCTTGTTTAAAGCATCAGTGTAGGGGAGGAGTGATACAACAAGGACTAACTGCTTTGTTTTGTCATGGGCACTTATGTAGTGGTGGTTGGTGGGAGGTTGAATCTGTTCTGTCAAAATGATGTGAATCAAGACTATCTGACGGTGCCCGCAGCACGCCACTGAACTACGGTGCTCAGACCGCCGCCGCACACAACAACCCTGAGCCATTCTTTGTGTTCCATTGCTCTTTTTTTCTTCATGGTCACGGTTTCAACCAGACCTGGGCAAAATAATGTTGGAAACTTTCTTTCACTGCTTGTTGTGGCCTGAGAAGGTGGACAAACACTGGACTGTGTTGCAGAGTCACCACAGCACTGTAGTAAACTTTGCTCATGTTCTTAAGTTAACCTGAATCAAGGTTCAAACAAAGGGTTCAGGATCACCTACAACACTTATTGAGCCCAGATCTGGTTTCAGCTGTTTTAACATTACTCTGTACCTCCGTTTTGTAATGCTGAAGATGCTGCTCACCTGGGCTCCAGGGCCTTGTCAAGGTAAAAGGTGAAAGGGCAACCTGATCTTGGAAAGGGAAGCAGTTTTCATGAATTGGTTTTACTCAACAGTTCCAAACAGTTTCTAAAAGATAAAGGCTAAACTGATGAAAGGCTAAAAGTATTCAGTGTTGTGAAAACATGCTAAATAAAGATGACTGCTTTTTTCCAACCTGTGTCTCCTTCTAACCCTGATTGATTTGTTGATGTCATGAAAATGTATCTCGTCATGTTCGGCTCTTAGTAGTCATCAATGTAGCTTTGACTAGAAACTGGTGTCTTACCCTCTTAATAATAAATAAATAAAACAACACTATTGCTGAAAAGTAACTGAACACTGTTAGTGTAAAATAAAAGAAGTGGAGAGTTCTCACACTGAATTTTGAATCTTCCAAAAAAAAGTTTAATGATGCAACATTTTGACCTCAAGTCTAAAGGTAAATGGACAATGTTATCAACCACACACTGTAGAATTTGATTTTAATTATTTGGACTATGTTAATATTACAGTTAAATCCTAAATTGACCTTCTCTGGTACTGTTGTTTCTGAAGTAGATAACTTTTTACCCAACCTGAAATTAAAGCCTTGTGTCGTCACATGCTCAAATCAATGTACATATTATGTCAGTGACTAATCACACTGGAAAAGATGGGATTTAAAACATATTTATTTCAAACTGGTCTTGAAAAACAGACCTATCTTATGCTTAAAGTGTCATTTTTAAAACTTTTACAAAATGACAAATTGAATGGATAATACATTTTTTGTGTTTCAAATTCATAAAGTATTTGAATGTCAAACTTGCGTGAAGGAGAACTGCATTTTACGGAAGATCTAGGCAAAGTGGTGCTGAAAGTACTGATAATATAACAGATTGCTTTATAAACTCATATGAATAGATATTTAAATTATTCTTTTCTTTGAACATTTATTGGCATGGCCAATCAAATAACAAATTTCAATTCTGAGATCAAAACAATACCTTATTAGATACCTTTTGTTACTATTATTTTACTTTTTATGTACAAAAATTTATTCAATAAAAAAAAAAAGTTCAATACCAATAGTTTTTTGATACTCAGTTCAAAAAGCCTTCAGATACGGCCCAGTGGATAGGCCTATGTGTTTGTGAGTATGGTTCCCCTTTAAGGGAGCTTTATTATTTTACATACTGTATATAGGACTAATGAATGGAGACAGACTGTCCCACTGCTGCCATTTGGTGTGTCCAAGTTGTCCTTCATTGGATGACCCTGGAAGAAAATCTCTGGCAAGCTCTACTCATCGTCTATTCTGAGGGTTCGGACCTGGTTTGAAATATTACTGAGCCGCTGTTTGAGTTTACGCTGGGAAGATTCATACTGGTCTGACAGCTTTCGAAATTTGAGTGTCATGACATCCATAGTGGATTCAATCTGGTTGACTTTGTCCTCCAAGTCTTTGGCATCAGAGGCTGTGACCAGTGACTCATCTATGAGATTATCTTTCATCAGGATGGCCCTTCCCTTATCCTCTAGGGCATTTTTAGCATCAGGATACTCAGTGAGCGCCTCCATCAGATCGTCCTTGGACAGGGCAAACAAATCAGAGTAGCCCACGCTGCGAATGTTGGCGGTTCTTCGGTTTCCTGCCTTGCTGCCCTTGATCCCTAAGATGCTGATTTCACCAAAGTATGCCCCATCACTGAGAACAACAAACTGGGTAACCCCATCATCTGCTACTACAGCCAGTTGTCCTTCTTTAATGATATACATTTCCCTACCAATGTCCCCCTTCTTACAGATGTAGTCACCAGGACTGAAAACTTGAGGCTGAAGCTTGAGGACTAACTCAACAAGCAAACCTGCTTCACAGTCCTGAAAGATGCGCACTTTTTGTAGGGTCTCCAGATGTACGTTGATGGCTATTTCTGCCTTTAGTTTGTCTGGAAGATTCTTCAGCACTTGCTTTTCATCACAAGTTTTGTCCTCTGTCCACAGGTAGTCAAACCACTTCACCACCCTCACTTCCATGTCTTTTGTGACCTTGCGAAAGTGCATGTACTGCTTGATAGAGTCAATCTTAGCCTGGAACTCTACACGTGCTGCATTCATGTTAGAAATCATAGCACCAACATTTCCTACAATAGTGGCAAAGATCAGAACCCCTGTGAGGAAGTCAACTACCACGAAAAAGTATTCCACATCTCGGACTGGGGGCGGTGTCTCACCTATAGTGGTCAAAGTAAGAGTGGACCAGTAAAAGCAGTAGACGTACTGTCTGGCCAGACGTGCATACTCTGGATTCTTCATGGATGGATACACCCAGGTGTCTGAGCCAAACCCAAGCACCTTGGAGAAGGCAAAGTAGAGGCAAGCATTCCAGTGGATAATGATGATGATGTAAAGAACAAGATTAGCAATACGGAATATGTTGGGGAAGTTGGTTCGCGTTTCAGTCCGATCGAAGAACTCAAAGAGTCGGGATAACCTAAAGAGACGGTTGAACCTCCACTCTGGGTTGTTGATTCCAATTTTGAAGAAAACAATATCAGTCGGAATTATTGATATGATATCTAATCTAAACTGGCGTGTCTTCATGTAGTTCTCTTTCAGGACCTTTTCATCCCTTACAAGCAGTCCTTGCTCCAGAAAACCTGTCGACACATGAGCATATGATCAGCATTAAGTTTCCTGAAAATCACAAACGTCACACAATCCGCAAACGTCCCCTCACTGACCTGTTCTGGCTCTCACAAACGTGTCAGCGAAGTATAGGAAGTCTGAAGTGTAGTCCAAAACCATCCAGAGTGTTGTGTTAGCAGACTGTAGTTCATTAAAACAAGCCCTGCAAGGAAATAAAAAGATAAGACAAGGACCTCTAGAACAACAGTAAAATAAAGAGGAAAAAAACAAAATGCCATGAGGTCAGACCTGGCCACCAGGAGCATCAGGTTGTAGAACACTGGGATGGAGATCATATTAAGCCAATAGTAATACATATCTGTCGCAGGGTCCATGATCCACACCTCCTTTCTGAGTGAGAAAAAGTATGTTTATGCTCAGCAAGGTACATCTGTATTAAAACATTTCAATCTCTTATTTCTATAGCCCATATTCACAAATCACAATTTAGCAAGGTGCAACATTCTCTGGGCAACTGGGGCTCAGCGGTTAGAGCGGGTGGAGAAGTTTGGCAATTTGATTAAATTCTGCATGCTTCTCAATGGAAAAGTGTGGGTTAGGGTTAGGGTGGTAAATACAGCCCATTTACCATGTATGGTAACAAATGAAGCTTTTTATATCTGTCGGGTCAAATCTTGAGGGAATGGCCATAAAAGTGAGAACAACAATAAGTAATTTAAGTTGCAGCCATGAAAATAATTAAGAAGTACTTACGGCTCTTCCTTTTTATCATCCTTCTTGTCGTCCTTCTTAGCATCTTTCTTATCATCTTTCTTGTCATCTTTCTTATCATCTTTCTTGTCATCTTTTTTGCTGTGAATATCCATAAACAGAGGCAGGCTGGGTTAATATTTTTTATCTTACTGCCACAAAGAAGTGTTAGAAAGCCTGAGGGGGGCGCTGTGACACTGTTAAAACAAGCAGCAGTCCTGGTGCTGACTTAACCTTGTGAGGCCAGTTTAACAACTAGGATCCACACACTATATCTTACCCATCCTTGTTGTTGCAGTTGTTCATGTTGTGTGCAGCCAGAGGCCAGCGGCCGTCACTGCAAGAGGAATAAGTGAAAGAAGAATGTAAACACATAAAGAAAATCTACATTCTGGACAGACACAAATATACAATGTGTGTTAGAGCATAAAGATAAGAATGAGGCATTTCGTTAATAAAGTTTAATTAAGTCTAACTACAGAAGATAATTTGTTTTCTAATATTGCAAATCGAGAAAAAAATGTGAAGAGTAAATTTGACATTTCAAGATTTTGATCCAACTTCTGAGAAAATATCAAACTTCTAGCATTAGCGCATATTACCTTCTACAAAATGCTTAATGTAGAGTAACGGATGAAATTATACCTGGCATTGGTTTTATTGGTTTTAGTAACAAGGAACTTCTTTTAGCCATAAACACATGGTGATCAGTGTCAGGTCTGCTGTCAAGATGCTGTGACACAAACTATACACCTCTCCACTGTCTTGGGGACATCTTCAGGCTTTTTTAAATTATAAATGTTTGCATTTAAAAGATTTAATTGTGTATCAAAGCTTCCAGAGCGTCTATAATAAGAGTGTTTTCCAACACTGTGGTCCCCCATTGGCTGGACGTGGTTGCAGATGCACTGCTCACCTGCTCCTGCCCCTTATGTCACCCTCTGTCCTCTGGCTGGACTCTGTGGGGGTGACACTGCTCCTCCCTAAGTGCCTCATGCGGGACAGCCTTGGGAAAGAGATGAACGGGACATTACAGGCAGATGCACATGCTGGGTGGGACACAACACCTGTAAATCCTGCAACATGGATTTACTTTGTTGTAGGACTACATTCAATTTGAGTCATTAGTGTGACTCACCTTGACAGCAGCCCTGTTCCCACCAAAGATGTCTGATCATGGGTGTCCATCAGCCTGGAGACACGGAGAAGGACAGTTAAACCTGGGACAGACTTGGAGAAGCCCTGTGCATGTCAGGGCTTCGGCCTTTAAGTGTGAGACATACACACAGACACAAAATCGACTTCATCTCTCAATCTTTGTATAAACATAGAGATCATAAAGGGAAATTCATATAATCTGATTGTTTCTATAGTGTATTGTGTTTTTTAGCTTTTTCCTACATGTATACATCTACATGTATTCTACTGTATACATCCATACATGTCAGAGCTATTGTCTTGGCCAGGCCTCATTAATAAAGGAGATCACACACATATACACACAGAACATGAAGTAGTTATGCATTCATAGGCAAAGCGAAGACCTACTGTCAGTCCAGGTTTGTGTTTAGTCTCATTAGCTCACCATGTTTCTTCTTTAGCACTGTTAACTCAAATCCTCCTCTCACAGATTACATCTGCTAAAATTAGATTTTCAGCCGTGTGGGACTTTGAAAAGCTCAACTTCAGAGAACGTCTGTTCTTTCAGTCCCACTGCAACATTAACAAACAATCACTCTCTGCCCTGAGGGTGTAGTTTACCTGAATGTGAGTAATAAAGACGAGACAGGAGAAGTCAAGGTGAGCTCTGAATCTGTCTCATGCTGCTCCTGGTCACTTCTTCCTCCGTCCAATCAAACAGGAGTCTGTCCGCAGAGCTGAGGACTCATGTTCAAACGTACAGATCCCACTGTGAAGCAGCTATTGTGTTATATCCTCTAACGGAAGACACAGCAGACACATCCACTCCTGCTTTTCTAGAGAGAAACTCATCCTCTGCCGTGGAGCAGCTGCCCCTGTTCATCCACACGGCACCACCTCCCAGCAGGTGATAAAGGGAGGCGGAGGGGGAGGGGGGGAAGAGGAGGAGGAGGATCTGCACCTTTGTCCTGCTCCTTTCTGAGAGCTGCAGGTGGAGTCTGATGTCTCACTTTAGCTGCACACACTCTAAGAGGATTTACTCAGACTGGAAGGAATATAAATAAAGACTCTTACTCCAATCTGTCCTGTTTACCAACCAGGGACGAGATGAAAGACGTATATATTTATCAGTGCTGGAACATTACACACCCACGATTTTGTTCCTATTTACACCACAATATTAAACTGGAACAACATCATTAAAGCAGTTGTATCAGTTAGAATATGAAGGTGAACACAGACTTCTTTTTCATGTTTAGTGATTAAAAGACAAGATATATCATTTAATTTGCATTACACAAAATAAGAACTACGGTAGACAGATATAAAGTTTTGGGATATATGTATTTATATATAGATAAATATATCTACATGGATGAATGTGTGTGTGTATCATTACCACTTGGGCTGGACTGCAGCCACACAGCAGAGTCAGATTAGCTGCCGTGCATGAGATTAGCTGTAATCTGTTGATGCCTCTTGTCGAGCGGACGGAGGAGAAGTGATGGATCACAGCTCACACTGATGAGCACGCGTTGGGGTGTGTGTCGGTGCAGTGAGACGTCTGTGAGAGAAACAACTCAATAACTCTTGTCCTCAGATCATCCCTGTCATCCTGAAGATGAGCTGCTATAGACAATTAACAATTAATTTTTTATCGTTCTTGAAGTAATTATTTTGTATTCAAAGTATTTTTACACCTGTTACCGACCACTTAAACGTACTCTATTCAAAGAGCATCTTAACTCCCTCTTCTTAGCTTGAACACCTTTATTAAAATCTGCTGGGAGAGTTGGACAACTGAACATGTCTGAGTCCTGTGAATCAGGAGCAGAGCTCATGCTGCACCACAGATATTTATGATTTAATTTGAGTCTACATGTCATTTAGGATTTAGTGTCTAGTTCCTCTGTAAAAAGAGGAGATGAACTCTATGTATTTGTCATGTACAGCATGTGATGAATGCTGCTGTTACTGCTCTGCCTGCAGCCTGGCTCCATCTCTGGTGCGTTTGAGCTGCCTGCGACGCTCACTTCAAGACATTGTCAATGACCCATAGATAATCGTTGGCCCCATGTGCATTTATAATTGATGAGCTGCTCTGAATTCAGCTTGTTGTCTCGAGAGCCTCCAGGGTGCACTGCTCAGGAAACATGGGACTCATATTTGACAGCATGTGTAAATAACTTGTGAATTGTGGGATATATTAGACATTTAGCTAAGAGTGTAGAAGACACTGATTATAAATAAGTGTGTGACAGATAAAGGAAAAAGAGTTGGACATTGAAATTTGTGAGGACATGAGGCTTAGTGCCTGGGGACACTGCTCCGTCCTCCACAGACTTTCACATATCCATATCCCTGACGGATGGACCACCTACCTGGCATGTGGCCCCTAAAGGCAATAACAAAACACTGACTACGAGAACAGACAACCTACTACGTCTCCGAAAACAACCGGGAGATAAAAGGTGTGATTATTCAGCCAATGAAAATAATCTTTCAAATATTGCAGGTAGTATTTGTAAAAGCTTCATAAATAAAAAGTAACAAGTAAAAGTCTATAAATCTGGAATCAGGCAGGTCCACATTAAAACAGGTTACTGGGAGTGGCTCGGTCTCAGCACATAATCATCATCACTGTTGATACCAACTCCCAGTGCTGCTGATGTGTTAACAACCTGCTGACAGCCACCGCCGGTCTGATTCATCAATTAAACTGGTTTCAGCCTGAGTGCCAGCTCCGGGTGCCCTCCCGAGGGAGTCCGGCGTCGTGGTGCCTCCGTCATCATCTGGCATCTTCCATCTCTGCTCTTATTCACCTCCATGAATGAGACGGTCCAGCCTCACAGAGGACAAAGCAATGGTGCATCAGGGCCAGCATGGTGTTCAGTATCTTGCCCATGGACACTTCGGCATGGAGGAGTCGAACCAGAGACGCTCTGTTTAGTGGAGGGCCTTCTCTAACTCATGAGACAAAGCTGCCTGATGTCTGGCTTTCAGCCACATACTTGGTGAGGAATTTCACCCACAGTCAGGGGCGTTCTAACAAAGTAGACAAAGCAAACAATGCCCTGGGGCCCCAAGCTGAGAGGGGGTCCCCCAATAGCGGCTGATTACGCTTGTCCACATCAACAACCTCGTTAAATTCTATGATTGGCGATGGACAGGATGCTGCAACAACTCCACTTAACCTTTTATGGGCCCCCCAAATCCCTTGAAACACCCCTGACCACAATTCTGAAACTCTAAATTTACAGTTTCATGATACATTAACTTTAGATATTCTAAACTAATCATCCCAGCGTCCTTCTGTCTCTTCTTGTGTCTGCTGCTGTTGTCAGCTGAGTGACATTCGCCTGTCCTTTGATTTCTCAAGGACTGCTGCCCTCTTGTGCGCAGAAGTAATACAAATATAGGTAGTGGTAAAACACCTATACACCATACATCATCCAAACATAATAATGATAATAAAAATAGGAAATGCCTGACAATACAACATGTGACCAAATGTCCTATTTGTCATGATAACAAAAACACTGTAGAATGCAGAGATAAAGCTACAGACTATAAAGTTTTCTTTAAAAGTTTACGAATCAATCATGGTTTGATTGTCACATTCTATGTTCATATTGTTGCTGCCCATTTTCTTCCCTTAAGGCCATGGTTGTCCATCTTCTACTGGCAACTGCAAGAGTCTCAAATTGGCTTCATGAACATGACCGTGAGTTCAGTGAATTTCAGTGTCTCCCACCGTCGTGAATCCAGCAGATGCTTTGTGTGGTGATAGAAAAGGAGAAAGGCAGCATGAATCTGCAGGAATGATGGAGGGTGACGTTTCTAATAAAATGTTTGGTGGGTGTACGTCTCAGAGAACAGCTTTGAGTCTCAATAAACTAGATTTTGTCATTGTGTGTGTGTGAGTAATTCAGCAGTGTGCATTCCCACAGTCTTGCTAATCATGTTCATGATATCTGAGCGAGACTGGAACAGAGCTATCAGAGGGACAGTCCCCTCCTGCCTGCCAACCACACAGCATGTCACATGATGAAGTGTAATCAGCGAAGATGACCTTGTGATGCTTGACAGTGTGTGAATGAGATCGGGGTTGGGAGTGCGAGTGCGGCCCTGCTGACATCAGACTCGTCCTTACAGTGCGGTGCATGCGGATGAGTTTAACTGAGAATGGAAATGATGAAAACATTTCGATCTTCATGGACCTCCCACCTCCTGCCTTTGCAACGTGTGCTGACTTCCGCTCACTTACATTATTGGTGACCCTGGCTTGTTGCCATGGTGCTTGCTTGTTGGTGTATGGTAAACATGTGGGGAGGAAGTGTTGGGTGAACACCCAGGGGCCCAGCAGGCCTGAGGGCCCTCGCATTAAGGTTATAAATCCATGCTACCAAGCAGGACACATGTTTTACTAACCCATGCACGTAGGGGATAAGTTTGAAGTGACTGTTGAAAAGTAATAATGTGCTTGTAAGGTTCTTTTGTGTGTTTTTCCCTAAATGCACAGTGGTTATTTATGATGATCTGATCTGATTCAACAGAAAACAAGACCTCCATCACTTTCTCTATCTTATCTCCTTAAACTGCACTATCCAACTCCTGCCCGAGAACATTGTCCACCTACACAGAAATAAACAAACACAAATGCTGATTATAACGTCTACCTCATGTCAAAACTCTAATGTGTTCATCTCACGCCCTCCTCTCTGTCGTGAGATGACCCCTGGCCTTTTCTCGTGTGCTCATGTTCCCGTCTCCCTACATGTCAGGTATCTGGTGGGGGGGCAGGGCTCGTCTGGGCCTCTGCCTTTCACTTCCCTGCGGTGGGTAGTTAAAGCGGCTCGTCCACAACCCAGTCTCCCCCCTTCCATCTGCCTAATTGTACTGAATATCCCTAAATTGCCCCTGACAGCAGTTCCAGCAGTGTGTGAGGGAGGTATAATAGAGAGTGCTGCACATAGACGCACTTCATAAATGTGTGGGTTAATGGGAAAACTGAACTGTGAAGCACTTTGAGTGGTCTTCAAGACTAGACAAGCTCTATATAGATAAAATAAGATAAGATAAAACTTTATTGATCCACACATGAGGGAAATTCAATTGTTACAGCAGCAGGCAGGTCAGAATGAGGTACACAATAGAATGGTATAGAAACGGTAGTGGTGGTAATAGTGGTTTGTATATAAATGTAACACATCAAAATGCAGTGGACAGGATGATTGCACGAGCAAGTAGAAAACCCGTTAATATATAAGTATAAGGAGATTGAGATGTGCAGATGACACAAATGTGCGAAAAGTAATTTACTGTTATTTGCAGGGCAGTATTTTATTTTTCATTAGACCAGTACTGCCAAGCAAACCATTCAAGAAAGCTGAGTTTGGAGATTGAACAACATGAATAGTGGAAACACTAAAATATTTGTTGAGACTGAGTATTGAGCACATTTTCCTGTTCACATTGTTAGAGTGGTGCCAGGACAAATTCAGCAGTTAAGAATTATTGGATTTGGCCGCAACACTGTCTACCACCCACTTAGTGAGAAATGAATTTTACTTTTTGAGTGAACTGTTCCTTTAACATGACCACGTGGCCTAATGGATAAGGCGTCTGACTTCGAATCAGAAGATTGAGGGTTCGAGTCCCTTCGTGGTTGAAAACTTTATTTAAGTGTCGCTGATTT